CGGGGGCCGCTCGCCGTGCGGTTGTGAGGGGTCGCGGCGCAGGGCCGGGCCGGGTCCCGGAGCGCGGCCTACCGGCGGGGCGGCGCGGCTTGGGGTGAGGGGGGAAGGCGGCTCCTGGCCCGGGCTCCGGTGGTGCCTCAGCCCCGTCGTAGCCGGGAGCGCCTCGACAGCCTCGCCGGCTCCGGCCTCTGCTCGCGGCCAAGGTGACCAGGACGCTGGCGTGGCGAGGTTTTGCCGGGTGGCCGCGGAAGGACGTGTCCTTGTGTTACGAGCAGGGCCAGAGCAACAAAACCGAGCCCTTCCAGATATTTCCCCCCTGCTCTTTTACAACGGTTTGATGGCTTAAGAGTCTGTGGCGATGTCATCCCTTTGGTACCCACTGAAGGCGGGTTTTTTTGAGGGGCGAGCAACATATCGGGCAGTGTTATTGCACGGGGATGCCTCTGTTGCCCAGGACTTAGGGTGTACGCCTTGTGGTGAATGCAGGGCTTGTAAACGTCCTCCAGATCAACTTTTTGGGTGGAGAGTTATGCTTCTTTGCACAGTCTGGCACATCTGCGCAGGGAGGAAAAGAAACATTTAGCATGTGGAGGTATATATTCCTGAAGTAGCCTTATTTGATAAGGATATTCTGTGCCTCTCTAGTTTCAATTATCCATGACAGGCATTTGGAGACACTTTATTATCTTTATCCATTTTTTTTCACTGTCAGCCTTGTTTTATTAGAATTACCCAATCTTAAGAAGCGCTTTAGGAGCGAGTTGTATGGGGAATATAGGAGAAAAGACCATGATAGCAGATGAAGGAGTGTTTTTGTGAAATATGGACCAGACATATTGATGACTACTTCTGCAGAGCATAAAGAACATTTGTTAGCACTGGTAGCGGGACTTCATGTTTGAGTTAAGAAACTCAGTAAGGGTACTGGCAATACGAGGAGAATATTGATTCATATGATACTAGCCTGTGCAACATGTTTGTGTTTAAAGTGATCTTGAAAAAAGCTGGATAAACACTTTGCTATCAGAAGTGTCTTGCTGTCTCTTTTTCATATGCGTCTATTACCCTCTAGAAACCTGGGTAGAATAATTCACAAGGCTTTCCATGCCATTAGGTCACTTCTAGAGTTGAAAGCGCCAAGGCAAAAGCGGGCTCGTAGCTTGAGACACACATGCCATACTGCAGGACAGCTGCAGAAATTTTCAGCTGCTTAGGGCTTTCATTTACTTCCACCATTTTAAGGGTGCTTTGGTGCATTAAATATCAGGTTGTTCTTTTGGTTCACTGCTTCTTTCTTATTTTTCACCTCCGGTAGAGATTTAATTAATATCTTCCTTTAGGTTGCTCTTAGCTCAGCTTGATTCCTTTCCAGTCGCTGTTTTCATTTCAGGGTTGATTTAGGAAACATAGTGGAGTGGAACAATCCTAACTATTTGTGATTTCTGCCTGCTGTCCTGTGTGCTGATTTTTGACTGACAGTCTCAAGGCTGAGTGGGCTGGAATGGTCTATGATCATGCTGGTGGTCTCCAATTCATTTAGCTGCTGACAGCTGACATCTGTGCTGAAGAGCGGTGTGTGTGAAAGGAAGAGCTAGGAAGAAGTCAGTTTTGTCGAGTGAAATTAATCTGTAGTTGAAATCTGACTGGAATTACATGATTGGTGGCTTTGTCCATTTTTGTTTCATACCTGTATAAAAAGGGAGGCATTGCTTTTTCATGAGATGGGAATAATGTCTGTGATAACAGTTTTCTTCACCCATGATCTCTATATCTTCGCAGGAGTGACATAGCCCATATCCGCTCCTATAGATTGCGTATTCAGTAGTTACAACTTGAAGTATGGCTCTGATCCCATTTCAAAATTTAAGTGGAAGTGGAGGGAAGTGACTGGTACCGCTTATAAGCTCTTTGTTTCTATTACATGTTATGTCATTTCCATCCATTTTCAAATCTCCCTGACAAATTGTTGTTACTTTGCTATGCGTTCTTTGCTAACTCCTAGAAAAAAGATCTACATGTTCTCCAGGCAGACATATTAGGAAGAAAGAATGTGAAATTACCTGTACTTAAGAAGCTTGCCACTGTAGTATGATAAACTGAGAAGAATGTTCCTTTCATTCCCTTCTCTCCCAGCTCTTTGCAAATCACTTCAAATGAGGGTAGGTTACCCTTTAGGAATGAGTGTCTGCCCCTCAGGTATGTGTCTGGAAGTTTGGTAGTAGAGGGTGGGATTTGCAGGGAATGAGATAGAAATGATTATTCCACCTATCAGAATGAGTACAGACATAAAGTCCTAAGTGCCATGGTGACCTCTCAGTTCTTACTGTTATAACATGTTGAAATCTTACCAAGTTTTGCAAAATTACATGATGCATACATAATGTTTTTAGTGCCATTACATCTTAAAGAGGATTATGTATGTAGACAATATCCTAACTCTGTCAGTGTTGTCCCAGTTGCTCTGAGCTTTTGCAGGACTTAATCTGCTTTCAAAACGGTCCTGATAGTATTTATGTTCCTACAGTTGCCTAGGAGCCCTAATCATAGACAGGGCATTGACACAGGAGGAAGTCAGTGTTGTAACAAGCTTTGAATCTGTGAAATGGGAAATGGCAAGTGAATATAGGTAGGTGGGAAATAATGCTAATGTATAGGGGATTCAGCACACTAGTAGCCTAACCACTGCCAATTTGCTGAAAATGCCAAGTGGGGAGAGAAGAGGTTTTGTAGGTTTAAAGGAGCCTTATATACTAGTTTTGGTGATACTGCCTTGGGAGAATACCCTCCATGTATCTGGGCTTGGAGATATGTGAACAAGTGCTTGTTTGGAAAATTCAGTAAGTAGAAGATGGCAGCTGGTGTTACGAGCTGGGTGTCAAATCTGCTAGTGGATGAGAATGAAAAGGCTGCAGAAGTCTTGAAAGAGGAGACAAGGGAATTTGGTGTGATAAAGGAGGAGAGTTCGCTGCTGGGATGATACAGTTAAAGTCAGCGACTAGGAAACTGATCCAATCAGCAGCTTTCAAAATAGATGTTGAGTTAAAAATCTCATGTTAAAAATGTGATGCCAGGGAAGAGCATGCAGCAATACTATTTTATTCAGTAGGAGCCTTTTTTTTTTTTTTTTTTTTTTCCTTTTAAGACCAGTATATCATTTTTAAATTGGATGATGAAAAATATAGCTCTTCCTATTCCTTACAGATTTAGGAATTTTATAACCATGTATTTCCTTTTTTGGAGGGAGAGGGGGAAGAGGAAAAACAGTGAGAAAATAATTTAATGGAATTTATATACAGAAAATGTTTATACAGAATTTTTAAGGTATCTATTACTTCTTGAATTAGAGATAAAATAATCTTTACATGTAGTAGGTAACATAAAATTTGATCTATGACTCAAAATGACAGTGTCTTTTTTAAAACACTTTAAAGTTCATTTGGCAGCAATTGTTCAATTAGTCACACTAAACAACAAAAAACTTGGATTTAACCTTCTGACTAAATAAATTATTTCTCTAGATGGACAACAAAACAAATGAGAGACACCTCAGAGTTAAATCTGAATTTTTTTTCCTTTTAATTAGTATCCAACCCTTTATGTTCTTGTAGCTTTCCAAATACTTATGTAGTGAAAACAAAATAATTTCTTTTTACATTATTGCTATTCCTTTGCAATTTTAGCAACTTCAGCATTAAGATTATACTATTTTTGGCCTACTTGTAAGCTACTTTTGTTCTTTTTATTCTGAAGGTGAGCTTTGATTACCTTTGCTGGCATGGGAGCTGATGGTGTTCAACATTCCCAAGATTCAACCCTTACTGTTTTTCTCACTGTGTTCAAAATTACAGGGAGTCTGCTCTCCTTGTTAAAAAACTCATAAGGGGTCATTGGAAGGACAAGATAAATGTCCCTAGTTAGGAGAGCAAATTAAACTGAGCCTTTTCTTAGTGTAATACTGTTTGATTGAAGGCTAATGTCAATATGAACACTTAACTAACACTTTTAATTATTTTGCCAGCTGCATTATTCATGGCATAAATTTGAGGTAGCAGGCTTTTTTTCAACCACTGCGTTTGTGGTTGACGCTGTTCATTGAACCTACCCCAGCTTGGCTTGGTAAAAGGCTGGTTGCCAAGAGGTCCAGAGAAGTCAATGATTAGTAGACTCATTTGTTCCCAAGGAACCGGGGCTCAGGGGGCATGCGGTACAAGTGGTATCATGATTGCTTCAGGAACCAGGATGATGTTACCAGTTACAGAACCTGTGAGGTGTGCTGATTGATGTGGGGCTGGCCATCAGCAACACTTCCACTGCTGTAAGTGTAGCTCTACAATAAGTCATGGAGTGGCCTCTCTCCTGAAGAGGACTTCACGTCTAGGCCTGAGCTTTGTTGAAGAGCACTCTAGCCATAAACCTCAGTTTTCACTGTGAGGCTGAAATGCATCTGCAACTCATTGGGTCTTTTTTCTGATTAGGTTTGGTTTTGTCTTATTAACAGACTTGGATCTTCTGTCTAACAAACAAACATGAGTCATCTGAAGCTGTTCGTGGCTACGCTGAAGTGGCATGGCATTAAACTTCTGGAAAAGCAAGATATAGCCAGAAGGGTATTTTTACATGGCCAACGGTATGTTTCATCAGGAACCTCAGAACCATTCCTGAGTGCGAGTAATTCAAATTATGTGGAGGAAATGTATTATGCGTGGCTTGAAAACCCTAAAAGCGTACATAAGGTAAGTCTAAAACTTGGCTGTAAGTGATAATACTAGGCTGAGAGTGGAATTGATTTTTTTTCTTTTTTAACTTGTTTTATAAAAAGTCCAGAAAGAGGTCTTGTATGAAATGAAAAATGTGAAACTGATTTCCCACATATTGATTGTTGTAAGGTGTGATATTGCAGCTAAAAAAGTACAGAGGAGCCACAGGCCTGGTGAGCTGAGTGGAAGGAATGAGAAGTCCAGATCAGAAATAGTAAGCTGCTCAGAAACTTTCAGCCTTCCTCCATGGAAATCTTGTTCAAGCAGTCTGTTAAGTAATTAGTTACATCTGGAAGAAGACCCAAGAGATAAAATACTTTTTTTTTTTGGTTTATCGTAATAAAGTTGTATCAGAGTATATGTTATATTTAAATAGTATGTGTTGACATTGGTACTTCTAAACTGTCTGAAGATGATGAATGTTCAGTTCCCTTTAGGTAGCCATGGAAGTTGTAACCTTAAAACTGAATCTGAAATTGTTAGAAAAGCCTTTTTAAGTATCTTGAAAAGTATTTTGTTCTGTCTCTCCCTCTCTCTCCAGGCGACACATATTTATTTGCTTTTTTTACTTTAAATCTATTGCCCAGATCCTTTCTTGTGGACAAAATACATATTTTTTGTATAGACTTATTTTTTAACAAGCTTTCTGCTGACAAGGAAAGCTCTCTTATGGTGATACATGTATAGTAACTTAAGAAGCTGACGAGAAGTCTGATAAATTTGAAGACAGACAAGTAATTTTCTAGAGAAGTAATGTGAATTGTGCCCAAAATGTTTACCAAATTGGTTGTGTGTTCCCTTATTCTTGAGGCACTTATATCAAAATGTCACTTAGAAGTTGTTGCTCTAAGTCTGACAGTCTTATCTAGAGTGTGAGGAAGTGACGCATGTTGAGGAAAAAAAAAGGGGGAGACCAAAAAAGCAGTTTTGTAGCTGTTTTTTTGGATGTTGTGTATGAATTTAGTCTTGTTGGAAAGTGACATATGCAGTGACAACTCTGAAGACTGATCCTTGGCCTTTTGTGTTACACCTGAACTTGGAACTGAAGAGACCTTCTCCAGGGGTGGCTGCTTCTCTCATCCCATCTGTCTTTGATTCCTCGTCATGCAACTGCCAGCTAAAGTTCCAGCCAAGGTAGAGCAGGGTAGCACCTTGTGTGGGTGCATTGAGTTAATGTCTGAGAAACCCTCGTGATGTGTCGGTGCTATAGATCGATATTAACCCTTTATTTTGAGGACAGTGAAGGGATCAGCTCAGGCCTAAGGAGTGTGTCTGGTGACATCTTGTTTTCACTTGTTTCATTGGAGTTACGTCGACTCGCGGCAGCCTTCTTTCCTTTAAGGAGAACGAAATTTCTTGTTCAGACCCTTTACAGCCGGGTGAATTTCGCTGCTGTGGCGTCTTGCAGACTTCGAACGGGGCGTAAACCCCAGTACGTTAAGGCGGGTGTTAGGCGGTGAAGTCAGCGGTAGGCAGGAGGCGGGCCGGCCGCCGGAGCTGTCCGGGGTGCTGAGCGGACGGGCTGCCCGCCGGCCGGCACCGCCCTCCGGCCGGCACCGTCCTCCGCGGGGGAGGGAAACTGGCCCGGCGCCGCCGCCCTAGCAAAGGGCAAAGGCTTCTGCTCGACCTAGACCTGCTTCTTGTGTTGCTGATCCTTAGGCGGAAATGCTAGAAAGGACTATCCAATTCGTCTGGCAGTTCAGGCACAGTTGGGCGAGGTGATGCGGTTCGTAGGTTGAACAGCAACCGAGAAATTGGCAGAGGAATATAAATGTACTGGTGGAGTAGGGGGTGGTCTAGGGAGTGGATCCCAGGTGATTCAAGATGCGTGTTAAGAGAGTGTGAGTTCTTTTCCGGGTTAACTATATGTAATATACTTACAACAGGAATGAACTGAAGTAAGTTCACTGTGTGCCTGGTTTATGAGGCCTAAAAGAATATGATTGATGGACATCATGGATTACTTTACAGCTATTCTTGCCTAAATAATTAGGTTTTTCATAGCCTAGAAAAAAGGCGGGGAGGAGAATGATGCCAATTAATTTTACTTGGTTTCATCAACAAAATTAGTTCTTGGTTTCTTGAAAACCATCTAATTTCATCAGCTGAAAGCTATAAATGTCTACCCAAGATTTTTGTTGACAGAAATTGTTCAATTTGGGCTTTAATAAAACAGGTTTAAAATGTTGCTGGTTGAACTTGCCCTGTTTTCTTAAAAATACAGAAAAATTCATGCCATAGTTGTGACTGTAGGCAAGTTGTGAATTTGTCATTGTGCTATGGAAAGTGGTGGTAGTGTTGGAAAATAATGTCAAGAGATACCAATGACTTATGTGGTGTTGGTTATGGTATTGTTAATAATTTGACTGTCTCTGCAGGCCACTCATATTTCATTATCAGTATGTCTGGCATGGTTTAGAGAGCCAATTTGTGCTAGGCGTTTAGACATTACATTCTCTTTCCTTTGTTCATCTTTATTTCCTATTTTTCCTCATGTTTCTTCTTCTTGGATATCTCCTTATCAGAGGGGATGTGCCTCCCTCTGGTTGATGAGATGAAAAAAGCTTTATTTTTCCTGGGCTTTAAAAATTATACTCTGTTCACTCTTACTTAGAAACTCCAATTAATCAAATTATTTCCATCTCAGAAGATTTGACTGGACATGTCTTCCCACGCTTATTTAAATATGCTTATTTAAAACTGTTTGAAATATGGCTGTCACATTCCAATGAGCGTATTCAGTGTTACTAGCGTTTTTTCTAAGAACCTCTCCTTTCTATGTATACCATGGTTATATATCAAGGAATATGTATTTATATCCATAGGAGCTTTTATTCTTTGTGCAAATCCATTCCTGATGATTTTCTGCTTTTCCTTAACTTTTGAATTTCCTATCCTTCGTGTAGCCAAAACAACAATCAGAATAAAATGACGTGGGCTCTGAAAAAGGCATCATTATTCCTCCTTGAAGTGCGGTGTCAGGGCCATAGATCATAAGAGAGAAGCTTGACAAGGCTCAGTTATTACTATCACAAGATTAATTACAAAACGGCATGGTTGGGTATTGAGTACATAATGCCTGCCATGTTATCCTGTACGCAGCTGCTCTACCATGAGTGTGTAATCACTTCCTTGTTTTACGTAGTTGGAAAAAGTGTGGGGGGTTTGTTTTGACTTCATTTTTTTTTTTTCTTTCTTTTTTTTTTTTTAAATGATGTAGTGATGCTCAGTGTGTGTCTTCTAAGGCTTTACTGTCCTTACTGCAGTTGATAAATACTGTGATGTCACTAGAAAAAAACCCAAACCATCAAGATAACAAATAAGTTACTTGTTATTCTAAGTGCAACAGTGTTTATTATATGAGAGTAGAGTACTGCCACTGAATCACTTGAAGTGTGTTATATTACTTGAGAAAATAATGGTTAACTACAATATAGATTTGCTGACAGGAAAAAAAATGGAATGTATCATGTATCACATGTATCACTATAGTAATTTATTTTTTACGGATGTATTTTTCTATTATAATTCTCCTCTACCATTTTCTTAAAGAACTTTACTAATTTAGGTGAGAACCTGCAGGTTTGCTGTGAGACCAAGCTGGTCTTCTGTCTGTTCAGTCACATGGCAAATGCTGTTGCCAAAGACTGACATTGATACACAGGACTTGAAGACTATAATCTGGTATCAATCTTGAAAGATGCTATAGAAATCTGTAAAGGCTTTGATGGATGTGTATCTAGAAAAAACTAATTTTCTGTAGCCAAATGATGTATTTTCCCTCCCCTCTGATTAAATGTCAAGCTTGCCCAACAAATCAATAAGTTCAGAAATGCGATAGGAAAAAAACAGTGTGGATTCCTTCTGTCCCAGCTGGCTGCATCTTCAGATGTAAACATTTTGAAGGTATTTCTTTGTATTTGTGAATTTGCGTGAAGAAAGGCTCCTATGCTTATTCTTAAACAGGTAGCTTGTTGGGCAAGTCTATTTGGATTTTGTTAGCTACTGTCTCAGCAGAGCACTTGTCTAAAAACATATTCAATTTTATGTGGGACTGTCCTGTAATAACTTTTACATCTCAATGAAAAGCTTTTGACTCAACAAAGGAATGGTTACTTTATTATCATCATTGTATGTGTATCATGGTGTTGGAAAAAGCGGGGAAGGAACCTTAACATAAGCAAAGCATATTCTTTATTAAAACTTTGAATGAATACCAAATGTCAGATTTGTCATGGATCCAAATGTGTGTTTGGAATTTCCTAATTTAATGAAGTTAATAACTGTGTATTGCCAAAATAATTCCTCCAGTCTAAGTAGCCTTAGTTGTAAAATGAAGGGATTGTATCTGTTTTTCACTGTCTGGGAACTGCAAACTCTCAAACTAGGTGCTGTATAGCCATGTAATAACAGTACTGTTCTTAATACAGAGTAAGAAGGCGTATCGAGAGAATATCAGAGGAAATGCAGTTACACTAATGGACTCTTGTAGACCATTTATAGGATGCTGTGTAAATTCAGACTTCTAATCTCAGTGCGGCTAGCAATGTGTCAAGGTAAGAAGAATATAGGAAATGGGCATAAATGAGAGAAGGGAGGAGGAATGAATTCTTCATCAGTGTGTCTGGAAGTGACCGCTAAGCATGATCGGTCTGCCTTAATTTGTCATGGCATACAAAAGTTAGGCTATGTTTAGATCAAGGCTGTGTCAGAGCAGGGTGATAAATCAAGTAAGTTTATCATATTTGTATTAATGCAGCTTTGTATTAATAAAGAAGTAAGAGGGGTGCACTAAAGCAATGTTTCTTGGGCAGCGGCTTCATGCTAATGATGAGATTCCTGCCCACAGGTCCAGTGAGTCCCCCCAGTTCCATAACTTGAACTTGGAAGGTTGGGTGATGTTTAGCTCTTGTATGCTGCCCCTCTTGTAGTGTTTCTTAACACCTTAAAGCTTGTAGAAATTTCAATATGAAGACTTTTTGTTAATGAAAACAGAACTTTATAAATATTTTTTCTGTCATGCAGTGTTAGTATTACATTATTTTGATTCTTTTGTGTATTCTATAATTAATATATAAGTAGCATTCTTTTAAAAATCAAATCTTTGGGCTACTTTTTGTCTTTTCTGGCACTGGTTCCTTGAAATGCATTAGTTCCAAGCTCACAGCCAGGGTAAATAACATGCACCGTACAAAATGAAATTTAGTTTTATAGTTCTTCTGTTCCAGTCACAAAGATTTTAAAGTTTTGAAATAGCTTCCCTTTTCTCCTAAGTTAGCCAAATTGAGGAAAATGTTTTATGCCTTTCATTACCTTTTATGGAAACTGTAAGGTAAGCATAAGTATTGATCAGTCCCCTACTAGTGCAGGCTTTCTTCTTTGTTGGGTATAAGCATCTCAGATGTTTTATCCCATTCTGCTGCTGCCTGTTGGCATCCATATATCTAATACCATTCTAAACTCGGACAGTGACCACCTCATCAGAATGGAAACAGTTCAGGAAAACAAGATTTGGGCATACGTGGAGGAAGTGGCTTGTGTAAAAGAGCAGATGGAAATAAAAGGATCTTCTGTTTGTTGTGATTCAGCTTCTGAAATATGTACTTTTCTAAAGTTATGACTTGCATCTGAAACCAGCTCCACAATTCCTTTCATAGTAAGGTGTCCTGGTTTCAGCTGGGATAGAGTTAACTGTCTTCCTAGTAGCTGGTACAGTGCTGTGTTTTGAGTTCAGTATGTGAAGAATGTTGATAACACTGATGTTTTCAGTTGTTGCTCAGTAGTGTTTAGACTAGAGTCAAGGATTTTTCAGCTTCTCATGCCCAGCCAGGGCACCTGACCCAAACTGGCCAACAGTGTATTCCATACCATGGGACGTCCCATCTAGTTTAGGAACTGGGAAGTGGGGGGGGGCAGGGATTCGCCGCTCGGGGACTGGCTGGGTGTCGGTCGGCGGGTGGTGAGCAATTGCCCTGCGCATCATTTGTACATTTCAATCTTTTTATTACTACTGTTGTAATTTTATTAGTGTTATCATTATCATTATTAGTTTCTTCTTTTCTGTTCTATTAAACCGTTCTTATCTCAACCCAGGAGTTTTACTTCTTTTCCTGATTTTCTCCCCCATCCCACTGGATGGGGGGGGGAGTGAGTGAGCGGCTGCGTGGTGCTTAGTTGCTGGCTGGGGGTAAACCACGACAAGAGGAACCTAAACTAGTGAGGAAAGAATCTTAGACCAAAAGCCTCACTCAGAAAAGCTGTAATTGCTTTTAAACAGTTTCTTCAAGAAAGGCCCTTAAGGACTGACTGATTCTGATTTGGCATATTCAGTGAGTGTCTTGAAGTATCATAAATTCTTTTAGTATCATTAAAGGAATGGATTAATTTCATTTATTAAGGTTTTCAGTTTTATAGGCGTGATACTGCTTTACCAGCAGCATAATGTCATACCCATTACTGGTTGCCTGAATAAACATCACAGTTAAAAAGAGCTGTGTGAATGAATAATGTACGAAGATGCTTTGCACTCATATGTGCTGGCGAGTTTTCCACTGAACAAGCTCAGTGTAAGAAATTAGATGAAAAAGGCTCTGTGTAAATGAAACACACGGTTGCTACCAAGACGTGAACTTATCAGTGCTCCCTTTTTGCTGGCTATTAGTGGTACTTCATACTGTAATGTAGTGAGGTACCATTTGCAGCTTGAAGGAGCTGCTTTTGGTTGAGACTTTTGTTTGAGGTAATAAATTTTCCTTCTTCTTTCCTTCTCTGTACACATGTCCAGTCCTGGGACGTGTTTTTCCAAAATGCTAATGCTGGCCAAGCATATGATCCCCATCTACCAGATCAGTTGGAAAGAAAGGCATCGTTTCTTCAGAGCCATGGCCTGGCCCAGACACCAGGTAAAGCTGAAAAGCTTGTTGAAGATCACCTTGCTGTGCAGTCTTTGATAAGAGCATACCAAGTAAGTGTACTTTGGGGTAGGTGTGGGAGGGCCTCTCCTTTGCAAACAACCTTTTTCTTCCTTTTTATGTTCTTGTTTGTCTTCTGGTCTTAACTCTTGCCTGTTGTCTTGCTCCTGATCCAAAACGTCTTGAACTAGACGTTCTTTTCTTCCCTGCACAGTGTCTGAACACTGAGGTCCTGGATTAAGACTGGGATGCTCCTCTGGCTTAGCAAACTCAGGATTCAGATTGCCCACAGCCCTGGTGCTGGGCATCTGACTTAACCTGAAAGCTCTTTATGGAGATAGTCATTTGTGAAAGGGAATATGAATCTATTGTTTTTTCCCCGTTTACCAGGAGCAGGAGGCAAACATGTCAAAGCTTACCCTTTACTATTCTTTTGGCTCACTTGACTATATTAAGATTTTTTTGTGTGTGTGTATGTGTGCCTCTGATTCAGTAAGTTACTTGACCAAGTTGGAACACTAAGTTATCTCAAATAGTTTTGCTTCATATGAAGGGGATTGTCCTGGATATACTAGTACTAATGAATCTCCTGATGTGTGCGGTGAAGTAAGAACTATTTTCTCTCTTCAACAGCAAACTTTTCCATGATCCGAGTCTGTCTTCACCTCTGGAAGAGTTTGTATTTCAGTTCTAAATATTACTACCTTTCTTTAAGAAAGGAGGAAATGTGCTTGCCTTCTCATATGTCTAGTGTGAATTTTGAGATTCCTGATTTGAGCAGGATTATAGGTACAAAGACAAAGGAGAAATAATGAATTAACCAGAAGCTGAATTTTGGGAGGCTGGTGGTACTGAGTTTGGGTCAGCTTTGATGAATTTCTCTTAGAGAGCTGTTCATCAAAGCTGACTTTGTTTCACACTCAGATTTTTTTAAACCTTTTATTAAATTAAGAAATTAAGTCTAATTTCCTTTTTTCCTTTAAAAGAAGAAGGATTTTGGAAATAGCACAGTGGTTAGATGTTTTCTAAATGTAAAAGAAGTTTAAACATTTTTATTTAGACATGTGTTTAATATCTTAGTTTCAATAAAAGGCTTAAAAACAGTGTGAAACAAAAAAAACCCTCTAAACATGTAGATCTGTGTTGAGCAAAATATTCCAGTTTGATTTTTAAAATGTTTTTTCTTTTTTTTTTTTAAATAAGTATGTAAATTCCCAAGAAGTTTGTTACAGTTTGACTTGAGCAGATCTGTTCTGCCCTGCACTAAGAATTTTAACTCCTGTTTGCTATCATCAGAGGAATAGAACTTTTTTAAAAAACTTTTTTTTATGTGCACATCGCATTGTCACCATTGATTCAGGTATGAACCATGTTATTCCAGCTGTTGGAGAGGTGTTGTAAAAGAGTAGAAAGGTTTGTGAATATAAAGAATATACAAAATTTGCTTAGAAATAGCTATGTCCAAAACAACCACTTCAGCCCATTCACTTTTGCTTGCAGTAAAAATTTGTTGAAGAATTAGAGAAAATTGGAGAATGTTAGGCTGCTTTGACACCATTTACTTGAAAATAGTTCAGGGATTGCCATTTTGTTTCCTGTATTTGTGTGCTGTCCAACTCAAGTGATGGAACAGAAACATCTGTATAAATGGCAGGCACCAATGTGTCTGTGACAAACAAAAGAGGATTACCTAAGGCAACTGTCTGTTTTTAAAAGGTATTTAATATCCTCTAAATTCAGTGTTGAAGGGATACAATCAATTTGTGACCTTCCTTTGCCTGATAATGAAATGAAATGGAGAAGGATACAGAATTTTCATTTCTCAAACCTGTCAGTATTTTATGATTTTTGTGGTAAACTGCTCTGTGGTTGTTGAGCTGGTCTTCTGAAAAGGCAGTTAATCTATTGCTTTTTCTAATGCAGAGCACTGGATGCCCTGAAAGAAGGATTTCCAATGAAATGTGTGTGCTAAGCAAAAATGAGTCTAGATAAAAGAAGACTCAAGAAATTAATTTATAATGTGGATTTTATTTTTTTTTTCACCTCTGTCTAGGAAACATGATTTTCAAGTCTAGTTTCAGGTAGTCCATACTTGCATTTAGTCAAATTTATGGCAATTGATGAAAATTTTCCATGCATGTATTTTCACAAGGTTGATCTCTGATGTTGTTACTATTTTCTGTATCCAGTGAAAGAAGTGGAAGTTATTAAAAAATAACTTGATATTGAGGAAAATACTGTCTTTAAATAAAAGACCAAACTGCTCCTGGAGTGAAATATAGCACAGCACTTTACTTATTTGCTCTTCTGGGTTTTGGTGTTTTTGCTAATCCTCTTCCTCTACCTACTAATACTGCAGAGCAGATGTAGCTTAGGGAGGTGAATTCTTTCCTGTTGATGATGCTTGAGACAGAATTGTTTGCTTAGTTCCAGTCAGATAGACTTTGTGCCTCTGTAAACAATGAGGTGGCACAGATGTTGCTGTGGGCATCATTTGGCCTGTCAGACTTTTATTACTGGTGATTCATGAGATGCAAAGAATCTCAGAGGCCAGGCTGAATTTACAGGGCAGGTGGTTCCAAAAAAGATGCCATATTTCTGTTTGCGTATGAGTAGAAAGCATTTTGTTATGAACTCTTCTGCAAATGTAGAACATTTGAATAGTGTTTTTACAAGTCCCTTCGTGATGAACCACACTTTAATCACACTCTATTACTGTGTGATGTAATTCATTATTAATATTGCAGTTTATTAAGATTTTTTTTTTTCGAGAGACAATTAGGATACTAGTAGTGTGAATGCAGTTCTACCCAAGTGATCTGAATTTGTCCTTAAAAAGAAAAATATTAAGGAGAAAATATTAATATATTAATCTATAAAAAGCTTTTAATGAGCTAATTTGGTATATGAGAGTCATGCACAAGAGACATACCAAAAAAATTGGGGTTTATGTGTGGCTTTATTGAATCAATTAGTTATTTCTTCTGTAGCAATGTTATATGTTAATATAAGGCATTAGTTTATAGCACCTTGTGGCATGCATTAACACCAGTCATATTGATAACTGAAAGCTGGCTAAATTCCCTGTTGAATTTGTATTCTTTGGTGTCTTGAATGTCAATTTTATCATAGATGAAATTCCTGAAATTTTATGAATTAAAATAAATGCTATCTGATGCTATCTGATGTGGAGCAGAGCTCATGAAGAGTGATCTCTTCAGTTCCAATATAAATGTCTTCAGCACCAATCTATGTTTTAGGTCAGCAATAAAGTATTTTAGTATTCTGCAGCTGCAGAAAGGGGGATTCAAGCAAAAATACAAAATGACTGAATTAGCAAATGGTAGTATCTATAGACTAGTCATTGTTTTTTGATTTTTTTCCCAGAGATTTAGAGTACGATCTTTAGTAGTTTTCTTGACTTAAACTTCAGTGTAATTCCAGTTTAAATTATATGTCAGCCAAAATAAAGGTTATGTTCTAATGTGTATTCAGCAATTTTTAATAGAGGTGGTATACATATCCAGAGGTATAATGCTTATTTCCTGTTCTTATGGGAAAACTTGGGAAATATGACCCTTTCGTGACATTAGTGGAATTTGCTTATTGGACTTCACAGCTGATATACATGCTATGGAGAGATATCAGTGACTTTTTCCCTTCATCTGAGTTTCGTTAGTGTGATTTCATTTTTCTCTCACTTTCCTCCATTTTCAGATCCGTGGCCATCATGTGGCTCAGCTGGATCCCCTTGGAATTCTGGATGCAGACTTGGATTCGTTTATTCCATCTGACTTAATCACTACAATCGATAAACTTGGTGCGTACACTGTATGCCTTGTTATTTACAAAGGTCATTTGCCTCTTTTGACTCATTGGGCTGAGGTGATTTAATAAGACATTTCAGGGAACCTTTTCTGCTTGCTGGTATCATGAAATAGTTTCTCTGAGCATCTGTCAGGAGGCTGAAATTTCAGGACTACTGCTAGAATTTCTACTCTGAGATTCCTATGAATTCACCTGCTGATGAATGATGATTATAAACACTTTATAAAACCCCCAAATCTCATGGTTTTGAACCACATGAGAAATTAATACTGATCAATACGTTAGGGCAAGATTCTGGTAATCTAAATTACTTTTATAGCATTATGCTTGATACTTGTTTTTCCTATTGACTAGCCTTCAGATGTCCCCAGTCAAAACAAGCAATAAACAAGATGCTGGATAGAGGAACTTAGGGTAAATTTCATACCAAATTTGGATTCTAGCCTCTGATACTTATTCCTTCTGTGTAACTTGAAGAAGTCTCTTTCCATGTTTTCTTCTGATAACTTCAAAGTGTAGAAGTCTTGACTTGTGTATATAATCCAACGGTGATCATTTTAGTTTACTGCTGGAGGAGTGTAGTACACTAGGGGTTTGCTTTTGCAAAGATTGTTCTGGTTGCAAAGAGGGCATGTCTTTGAGAAATTGCACTGATCAATTTCTTTGCTCCTCTCTGCTTGAATAAAAAACCATCTGATTGATTTTTCTTTGCTCTTCAGTCTACCTGGTATGTTTAAAAGGTGATTTTCTACTTGGTAAAGACACTGAATCAATTTTTCTTTGGTATGTAAGGAAGCTTTTTGCACCAGACATAAAACATAGTGCATGTAGGAGATAAAACACATTCTACTTAATTTTACTCTAAGTACATCTCCTGTCTCTTTGCTGCTGTGTTTTCTTTTTCTGGTGGTAGGGAAAGAAGCAGTGGTAGGGAAAGAAGCAGTTCTGACCCTTGATCATATAAAGGCAGTGGAGTGCTTAAGATGGTAAATAGAGAGGTGCTTACACAAATCAGGGGTTCTCTTTGAAGTTTGTCAGCTTTAATTAAAGGAAAGTACCTACAAGAAAATACATTAGACATTTACTGAGTAAATATAATTTGTTCGGAGCATGGGTGATTGCTAGCGTGTCAGCACAAATTTCTTTAAAGTACAGAGTGTCATGACTAGTCAGAAGGCATCATACTGAAGCCCTCATGAGCATAGGAAAAATATGCTAGAGCTCTGAATGAGATGGGGGGTTGTGTCTGAGGGTGCAACTGATGTAATAGTTTGTGAGGGAAAACAACATTTCTAACTTTGTCTTGGCGCAGCAAAAGAGAAGGATCTCAAATGTTGCCTGTCCTTGAATGTTCCAGGCAGGAAACTTATGAAAGGTCTCTGGTGGTACAGAAAGTATTTTAGTGTTTGATTTTTCTGTGCATTTTCTTTGTTCCATCTTCTGGTTTCTTTTTTGAGAAGTCTTCTGGTAGGAAGTTTCTTCTGGGAGTTGCTTCTAGAAATACAGCTAGTTACAGGTGTACCTACTGCACGATTGAAGTTCAATAAGGTTGTATCTCTTTAAACATGAGGTGATGCTTCAGTAAATATGCAGTGCTGCAGTACAAAGCACAGATGTTCTGTGTATGCCCAAATCACTCCTGTACGTGTTCTGGTTTTTGCATGATAGAACATGAAGAGCCTGTGAAGTCTGAGAGAAAGTCAGGGGAAAAAAAAAAAGGATGTTAGCACTGCTTTGTTTCAAATGACATTAAAGCCCCTCTCATCCCCTCCTTCCTCTCTCTTTTTTTTTTTTTAATTTTTATTTTTTTTTTTTTTTTAGCATTACAGAATTAATTTGGTGCTGGAAGAACCTATTATGGTACTGAAAAGGAGAAATAGTGGTACACAAACACTTTTTTTGGTCACTCCAGATTTGACGTTTAATATATTATTAAAATTATTATTAAAACCAAAATGAATATTTAGAAATATATTATTTTTAAACCACAAAATGTGTTATTACTGACAGTGCTGTAGCGTAAAAGTGGTGGCAAAGTAGTCCTATGGCCCAACTTCAACTCTAAATACTAAGTTCTGTTATTATTTCATTTCCAAATTACTTCTTCGCTTTCATCTTCAGAAAATTCATTTAACAGGGCATACGGACCACTATTCTGTATTGTTTTAACAGTTATGTGCAGGCTGTCATATCAGTGTTAAAGTAGATGCCTGCAGCTTATCTCGAACGAAGATAAAGAGTTCGAAATTAAAAATAGAGAAGCTGGTTTTGGGTTTGAAAATATTTTTACACGTGCACACACATATAATTTTTATGTATATATGTTTATATAACTGTATGTAATATGTAATATAAGTTTTATACATTTGCTTCTTACACTTGTAAGAAACTATCTTTCCTTTCTTTGTTTAACAGTTCTAGATTAAACTTTATCATGCAAAGACTTTAACTTGCATTGATACCAGTCTTTCAGTCTTGTCTGTTGTGTATTTTGGCTTTTGAAACTGCATAATAATTAAATATTTTCTTAAACCATATTCTCAGTCAGAACAAGTTTAGATATATCTAAATCAAGATGGGATGATATGCTTAAACAAGCCCTTGTTTTAGTTGGTGGAGGAGTGGGAGGGCTGGGGTGTGAAAGTCTGTTTTAGAAGGGGTCGCTGATTGGGAAATAGAGCTGTACGGGTAATTACATGGCTATTTCAAACTAACTTCCCTATAAAGAGAAAGAGAGTGAATAGAGATACCTTGGAATTTCTACTAGAGTGTTTGCACAGTGTTACGTTGAACACGTTCTGTATTTTCTCTTAGTCTGTTGATGTTGTATAAATTAATCTAGTATGCTTCCAACCAACTGGTTCTGTCTGTGAAAAGTGGTTCTTTTTGTGTTTGCTGTTCATGGCAAAGCAAGGAAGAAATCCCAATCATTACACTTAGTTATTTTACTAAACAGTGAAGTGCAAGATATAACATGGAGATTTGATGGCATATTTGCTAATATGGTAAAATATAAAAAGGTTTGGGTAATTTTAATTTCAGTTGTTCTGTCTGAGCATTTAAGAAAGAATGGTTTGGTACTTCTAATCAAACAATAACTATTTAATTAAAACATTTCTTTTTAAAATCCAGACTAAAGTGCATTGTACTAATAGATGCCTTCAAAATATTGACACTTTCAATTTTTAATCTGGTACCTTCTTTCTTAATATTGCTTTATTAAACTTAGTTCATGGTGGTTTGAAAATCAATGCTCATTTCCTTTTTGTCTCCTATCCTGCTTCACAAATTGATAATGTACCTATTGTAGGGTTTTATGGTTTGCATGAATCAGATTTGGACAAAGTCTTTCAGCTGCCTACAACCACCTTCATAGGAGGAAGTGAGAACAGTCTTTCTTTAAGAGAGATCATCAAAAGGCTGGAGGTCAGTGGGATGTTTTTTGATCTGTGACTGTTTTAATGCAAACAGAAGTGAACTTTTTCCAGTTGTCAGTCACAAAAAACCTTATCATTTGTCAGTTATTAATAGAGCATGTAACAACTTCAAATTACATTAAAAATAACCCTTGTTCTCTTTCTAGAGGTGGCAGCACCATTAATTTCATTGCCTGGATATCTGAGATACATAGATTAAGGATGAGTATAAAAGAGGAATGAACATGGTGCAATGCTGATTCGGGCCCTAGTTCTGTAAAGAGCTGACATTGTTTAAAAGCAGTAGAGCCTTTAGAACTTGTCTTTTAAGTGTCCTACCACAGATAAAACACCTTTGCATACAGTACTCGGGACATGCAGGGGTTGGTCTCAGAGCCCTAGCTTTAGTGAGACTTTTACCTGAGTAAAAATATGAGAGTTGGGTACCAAATTCATGAAAGCCCAGCTGTAGCTTGTAGATAGTAATGGTCCTTGTTTTTCATCCCCAGTCCTTTTTGTAGAGTTTCATTATCTGACAGGTGATATGGTTATGTCATGTGAAGTCATCAAAGCTAAAATAATTTAAAACAAAAATAATTTAAAGGAATAAATGTAGTTAGAGGGCAACTCCAAATAGCAAAACAGCAAGTAGGAATGGTAATGAATTTTTAGACTACTGAGTGAGTAAGTATTGGGTATTCCTAATTGTGGTTTTTCCAGGACTTTGGAGTGCTGAAGTTGTAGAGATTTCTGTTGCATGGTAATGAAATCCATTGGAGTTAAAAGGCCTAGGGGTGAGGAAATATTTTAAAGGATGAAATGCGGCACTGAGTTACAAGAATGTAAAAATAAAAATAATTACTGAGCATATAAGAGTTCATGACTTTGACCTGTTGTAAATGTGAGAGAATGTGTTGACTTGCACGTTTGACTATTACATCAGCTTAGCTGAAGCATGGCAAGTTGTTAAGCCACAACATCTCTGATGTGCATTTGAGCTCTATATTTGCTTTTTGGTTTTTGCACTTCTAGCATGTCTGTGCAGCAATTTTCAAGAGATAACCCTTAAAATTGTAATGGGCAAATGAATGGACAAAATCAATAGCAAAATCTAAAAGCCTCAAGGAACTGATTTGTGTTAAAGAGAAATAACCCTCTTCTCTCTGGAGCTTTGGCTCTTTTTTTATTGAAGTTAACATTAAATTCCTCTTTAGAGGCAGCAGAGAGCACATACTATGTGTTCAGAGTGTTTTTTCCCCAAATTAAACTCACAATAGGTCTTATTTCTGTTGACTTGTATTTTGGACACATTTTTCTGGTGAAATATTCTTTTTAAGATAGGAAAATTTAAAAATTGCAACAAGGATGTTCTTGAAGTGTCTTTCCATTTTTCCCTGTCCTTTCTCTGTTCTCAGCTGCTTGGATTCTTTTTCAGATTTCCAGCCTTCTGAGACTTGACAGTTTTCAGATAATTTGCATGAGGCTTCATAGCTGTCTTCTCATTGTCTTTATTGCCTCATTTCAGGTAGCATTTAAAAAAGACAGGGTAAATTTTGATAAATGACTTGAAATCTTTGCTGGTGCATCTAAAGAAAAGACTCTATTATCCTGTAAGAACAGTAGCGAGTTAGGTGAAATATGCGTCAGTTTAAGGCAGGTTTATTGGCCTACTTTCAGTGTATTACCAAATGAGAATCTTCCAGATTCAAAATTTTGAAATGTTACTTTGTAGACAAAGCTTTCTGGCACAAAACTAGATTCGGTAAAATAATTTATTTGCTTATAGGATTGCTTTGGGCAAGATAGAGTGGAAGAGGAAGAAGACAAGATAGCTTTCAGAAGAGTAATATATACAGAAAATATAATTTAAAAATATATTTGTTTCCTTATGGCCCATTAACTTCTAAAGCTTCTCTGTTGGTGTTTTCACATCCTAGAATACCTACTGCCAACACATTGGCTTGGAGTTTATGTTCATCAATGATGTGGAGCAGTGCCAGTGGATCCGGCAGAAGTTTGAGACACCGGGAGTTATGAAGTTTACTAATGAGGAAAAAAGGACTTTGTTGGCAAGGCTGGTGCGCTCAATGAGGTATGCTGGGGTGGTGCTGGGAAACTGTTCTGTGACTGCTGCGTGAAAGCTGGTGTGGTCTGTAAACTGCTGAGGTGGAGGTGAAGAGTCTTAAGTGAAATCCGTGTTACTGGAGTACAGGTGGGTGTAGTTAACCTGGCTGCGATAGCAAAGGAAAGTGTGTGCTGTGAGGTATGTCAGGGTCTGTGTAGTGACTTTCAGTATACTATTTTCTTAAAAGGCAGGTTGTGGTCTGTAACACTTGCGCAGCCATTAGTGGCATATCTGGCAATGTTTTCATTGGCTTGCGGAGAAAAACTGGGAAAAAATTGTTTCAACAGACTAGTAATGTGCAGCTGTTTTGAAGATTCATAACTTGTTTCAGAAAGTAGGTGTCAGAACAATGTTGGATACTGATCTTCTGCTGTATTCTATCTACTGTGCATCTTTGTAGTAGCACATTATCAAAGGAAGCCATCCTAATAGTCAGCTCAAGGGGAATTTTTAGATGGGTGAAATGGTGACATGAGCACTGTTTGACTTGCTGGGATGCTAACAGTCTCTTTGGAAAGCTGTGCCAAGATGGGACTGGATTTAAGAGGCATAATGTGATTTCAGGTCCTGGTTTTGCCCTTTTCCTTCTGAGGTATGCCAAGATGTGCTGTACTGCTGCATGATCTGGCAGCAGGAGTTTTGGTCTCTGCAATATATGAAAGCATGTTTGAAACAGCTTATTGATTGCTCCTGTTGTGGCTATCTGTATAGAAATACAGTGATCCCAGAGACTGAATTACTCTCTCACCTCTAGAACAAGACTGTCTTCTCAGGCACAAGATTTGTTCCAGTTCTTACAATCTGAAACAATTTGTATATCCTTTGATAAACACAAGAGTTGGAGATTTATGAAGACACATTTTTTGATTAAGCCTTGTCCTGGTTTCAGCTGGGATAGAGTTAACTGTCTTCCTAGTAGCTGGTACAGTGCTATGTTTTGAGTTCAGTATGAGAAGAATGTTGATAACACTGATGTTTTCAGTTGTTGCTCAGTAGTGTTTAGACTAGAGTCAAGGATTTTTCAGCTTCTCATGCTCAGCCAGCGAGAAAGCTGGAGGGGCACAAGAAGTTGGCACAGGACACAGCCAGGGCAGCTGACCCAAACTGGCCAAAGAGATATTCCATACCATGGGACGTCACATCTAGTATAGGAACTGGGAAGTGGGAGTGGGGAATCACCGCTCGGGGACTGGCTGGGTGTCGGTTGGCGGGTGGTGAGCAATTGCCCTGCGCATCATTTGTACATTCCAATCCTTTTATTATTGCTGTTGTCATTTTATTAGTGTTATCATTATTAGTTTCTTCTTTTCTGTTCTATTAAACCGTTCTTATCTCAACCCATGAGTTTTACTTCTTTTCCCGATTTTCTCCCCCATCCCACTGGATTGGAGGGGAGTGAGTGAGCGGCTGCGTGGTGCTTAGTTGCTGGCTGGGGTTAAACCACGACAAGCCTCTATGTTCAGAGACTTAAAAATGAGGTGCTCATTGGAGGTGTGGGAAGATAATTTTGCCAGGTGTTTTGTTTGCCAATCTTATGGCAAGATTGTTTCTCTGGTTAAAAGTTTCATTTAAACAGAAATAAAAACATCATGTAATGGTCAAGTGAATATTGCCCTTGAGTAAGTTTGTTTAACAAGCCCTCAGTATGAACCATCTCCATTTATTTTGAGTCAAGAATTTGTGCTTTTATTCCTGCCGGTCTAAGCTGTGGGAAGATCTGCGGTTCCTAGTAGAGTAAAGGAGCCAAACGTCCATCTTCTGCCAAATTAGTTGTCTGCTGAAAATGGAAGAAAAAAGTTTTACATAAATTTCTATGCAGCTATCTCTAGTATGCTTTTTTTTGTCTGAAAATGATCAAGAAAAAAAGATCTGGTTTTGTGTAAAACTGGTTGTGCTCCTGAGATTTGTGGCTTTGTAAAGCAGATAGTCATCATTTTGCTCATGAATACTGTTTTCAAAAAAGTTCATTCGAAGTACTACATAGTTCAGGTACTTGAAACTGAATTTTTTAAAGTAGGATTTTTCATCCTTTGTGGTGTTCACTGATAGGTTATTGAACAAAAGCTCGCTTTTAACTCTTCCTCCTGTAAAATACTCATTGTATATCTTTGGGCCACTTCTATGCATTAGTAAACATGTTGGTCCCTGATTGTGTAGTCTAATCTGGGCATTTTGTTAAGCCTGTGCAGGTCAAACATTTCTAGATTATCCCTTCTGAAAGCAACCATCTTTCCTAAGACTTTTGCTCCTCACTGGGTACTGAATACATGCAGTGACAGCAGATGAGCTGCCAGCCTTTGTGAACTCACAGTGGCATATAGGGGACTTGCAAGACGTGACTGTGAAATATTGTAGTTCTGCACACTTAGCAGCAGTTTGCCTTAAATAATGAACTTTCTGATTGTCCAGTACTGGCTTAACTTGCAGCTGCAGAGAGGAGGAAGGCAGCGTGTACACCACTTCGATTTGCCCTATAGGACTTGCTGGTGACATGGGACGCACTTTCATTTTATATAAACTGGCATAGCCCCATAGATTTCCACGAGGAATTCTGGCAGTATAGCTCAGCTGAGGGTCTGGCTTGTTGTTTAGATGACTGAATTGTGAGGGTATTGATGGGTGAGCTAAGGAGAGTCTTTTGGCAACTTTTCATTTCACTGCTTTTAGGACTTCAATCTAAAGAGGTAAATGTCAGCATTCTAAGTGAGGAATAAGCTGAGTATTAATGGATTATTGCAGTGTTATGAGTCGAGGCATTGCACAGATGATGTAAGCAATACAGTTATTTTCATGAAGATATATTTTCTTTGCCTTTTGTATCTCCAAGCTTTACAACACATAACCCTTTCAACGTTTGTTAAAAGGTGCTTTTTAACCACTCACTTTGCCTCTGGCCCAAATGCATTAAAAAATGAAAGAACATAGAGCTGTCAAGGATTGACATCTTTCTCCCGCTGAAGCTGAGGCAGAGATGCCAGTGTCCTAGTTCTTGGCACATTACCAACTGTTACATCACACAGTCTGAGCAGCCCTGCCTTCGAATAGGACCTATGAAATAGGCATGCTTTCTCCTGTGGTTTTCTACAAGTATTTAATCGTTACTTCCAGAAAATAGAGGTTCTCTGTTATGTTTTCTTCAATCCATAGAAGAGACGACTTTGCTGTCACTCTGCCTTCCCAGTGGTCAGTATACGTTTTGTGTACATGGGAAGGAACAGAGTTTAACTTGGGAAGTGAATTTTGTCTGAGGTGGAGAGTTTCTTCCTCTCTGAATTGTTTCAAAGTCCTGGTAAATACTTTTCAGATGAAGGAGAAAGAAGACCTAATTCTCTCCAATGTCTCCCTCCTTACATGTGACTTATTTCCAGAGGCCTAAAAACATGTAGTCACAGATGTCTTAAAATAGCATAATGTAATTTTATTTACCAAAAGATGTTGGACAATAAGTATTTGCTACATTATCTTAATACAAACACTGTCTCTTGGTTTTTTGGGTTTCTTTTTGGCAAAGATTTGAAGACTTCCTTGCTCGCAAGTGGTCTTCCGAAAAGAGATTTGGTTTGGAAGGATGTGAAGTAATGATTCCTGCGCTTAAGACCATCATTGATAAATCCAGTGAAATGGGAATTGAATATGTTATTATGGGGATGCCTCACAGGTAATGTCAATGGAAACCCCCCAACAAATGGGCTTATTGTCTTAAGACAAGTTTCAGGTTCTAGAATTTTATTAATTAAGTTGATATTAGAGAAGCTAGTGTAGCAAGCGTCAGTCATAGCGAGTAATGGTAACACGGGACCGTAACAAATACCTGCCAGTGAGAGTCTGCAGGCTTCACAGGTAAATGCTAGCAAAACTCACCTCAGTGTACTTTGAAGCTGCAAGCAAATGTGACAGCAGCCGTGGTATCTATCCCATTGCATAAAGTCTAGAACTGGGAAAGCTTGGTGAGATAGTATCAGACTTATTTTTTGCAGTCTTCCTTAATTAATTATTAATGTTGTTATATTAAGACTGCTAGATAGTACAAAATTCATCGTTCATACTTGGATAACTAGGTGTTACAAAATGTCTGTGGGAATGCAATGGGAAGAAGGGTAGAATGAAGGGTTTCAGGTTCAAAAGTTTGCAGTGAACTTCTTACTTGCAAATTTCTGACAGCATGGCTTGGTGATTTGATAAGTTTTATGCTGTTAAGTCTGTTATTACCATTTTTGAGACATAACTGTGTTTGGAATTTTCTTAGAGGTAGGCTGAATGTATTGGCTAATGTAATCCGAAAAGAGCTGGAGCAGATCTTCTGTCAGTTTGATCCCAAACTTGAAGCAGCTGATGAGGTAAGATGCTTCTTCAATAGATCTATATAGAGAGAGGTCAACATTCAAGGTAGTTTTTAGTAATTTTGGTCATGGTTATTATGAAAATAGCATTATCGGCTGCTGAAATGCATTGTCTTCTAGTTTGAAGAATATGATTTGGTGAAACTTAACAAATTTAAAGACTATACTGTACCTCTAACATGCAGAAGGAATCTCAGGAATGATTGTGGATAAGTTCTAGGTCATTTGACTAATTTCATAAGCTCTAAGCATCTATCTTTGTTTTTTATAAATTAAATCAGTATCAATATTCTGTAAATATTTATCCAATACTGGATAGTGACACTGAGATAATAAAATAGGAACAGTGTTCCAATTTGAAATTACAGTGTCAAACCCATAGTGCATACTGATGTACAATTGGCTAGATGCATTTTTCAGACTGAAGCACAAATTTTAGGCATAGTCAATCGGATGCAGCTGGTACGAATGACATTCCTGAATTGTGACTACATCTTGCATGTTAGGGATCTGGGGATGTAAAATATCATCTGGGAATGTACCATGAGAGGATCAACAGAGCAACAAACAAGAAAATCACTCTGTCCCTGATGGCTAACCCTTCTCACTTGGAAGCAGTTGATCCTGTTGTGCAAGGGAAAACAAAAGCTGAACAGTTTTATCGAGGGGATACGGCAGGGAAAAAGGTAAAGATTGTTTAATATAGTAAATCTTACTGGTAGTTTTTCATATTATTTTTAAGAAAAGTAGTTTACCAGTAGTTTTATATCACAGAGTCCTCCTCTATTCCTCCTTCACAAAAGGGATATATCACCTGTTGAACTAGATAAGGTTTTTGATATGGTACCTCAAGGGTAACTTCAGGAAGTAGGCTTAAAACTTTCTTTCATTTGTGAACTGAGCAAAGGCAGCAGAACGCTGAGAAGTCTATGGTTTATTATAAAAATACAGTTCTATTTTATAAGCACTACAGAAATATGGAGCAAAGAAATCCTGCTGAGAAGCTTAAATTGCACTTTTGCTTTCTAATATATGTGTGGATATGTGTGTATAATCCTCCCTCTTAGGTTATGTCCATATTATTACATGGGGATGCTGCCTTTGCAGGACAAGGAGTGGTTTATGAGACGTTTCATCTTAGTGACCTCCCATCCTACACCACAAATGGCACTATTCATGTTGTGGTCAACAACCAGGTAACAAGTGGAGCATTTTCCAATCAATTTGTCTGCTGAATAGTTGCTAGTGTATTTCTTTTTATTCTTGTTTGTTATTAGCTGGGTGCATTGTCCCCTCTGTTTATTAGAATGGTTAAGATGTTCCTGAAAATGGTCATAGGATCTAGCAACTCTGAGTGGATAATATTTTATCACCTACATTTATTTCATTCAATTTGTAACACTTAAGTGGATTAGGTTTGCTTTGTTTTGGTTTTAAGGGAGCAAAAAGAAGCTGGCTAGCCAAAATGAAAAGCTGATACTACTGCTGTGTAAATGACTATTAAATGAAAACCTCAAGCATTCAAAACAAACTAGAGGGAGATGTGCAGATTATTTTAATGGAGGTTTCTGGAATTTCTAGATTGGCTTCACCACAGACCCCCGTATGGCCCGTTCATCTCCATATCCTACTGACGTTGCTCGTGTGGTCAACGCTCCTATTTTTCATGTGAATGCTGATGACCCTGAAGCAGTGATGTATGTGTGCAGTGTAGCTGCAGAATGGCGAAACACATTCAATAAAGATGTGGTGGTTGACTTGGTAAGTCTTGGTTTTCTCAACTTTTCGTTCTGTGCATTATGTACTACTCTCTTATTTTTCTGTGGCTTAGAAGACCCAGCCAAGAGACGTATTTTGATTTTAACGGCCTTTAGTTTCTTCATTTAAAAAAACCAAACAACTAACAGGCCCACAGGGATCCATAAATGTTTTTGTACCATAAACCTCCTAAAATCTCTGTAAAACTATGAAATTGAAAGATTTCATTTTACATTTTTCCTTGCCAACGGAAACAATCTTTCCCTTTGTAGGTTTGTTACCGTAGGAGAGGGCACAATGAAATGGATGAACCGATGTTCACCCAGCCTCTAATGTACAAGCAGATTCATAAGCAGGTGCCAGTGCTGAAGAAGTATGCTGACAAACTGATTGCAGATGGGACTGTAACACTGCAGGAGTTTGAGGTACACATCAACAGAGTTAAAGGGAACTTAAGAAGCTGTCAGTAGGAAGACACAACTGTCACTGTACGCTGACTGCTTAAAAACGTTCCTTTCATTACTGTGATGTCTTCACTTTCTGATTCTGACACTTTCTGATTCAGTTCGGTTTGGATTTTCATGTAAAATAAATAGTATTGTTGTAATAAAAGGACTGAAAATGCTGTGAAGTAATTAATACATATTGCACAGAAAAAAAATTTGCTTCAGTTCTGAGATTTGTAAAAGGTGATCAGATGTCAATGTTGGAGATGGAGGCATTTGTCAGCTGTTGTTCTTCATCTTTAGAACCTTGATTCAACAGTAAGACAGTATTTGAATGCTCACTGGTATAACTGTAGCTTCATACTGATAACCTTGTATCCAGCAATAATGCATTAAAATCAGTTTAACCTTTTTATTTTCTTGCAATAATTCAACTAAGTTCAGAGATCATTTGAAATATTCCAGAAGGATGAAGTGTAAAGTGTGGTGCCTGTATTAAGCTGGTTAGATCTTAACCTTAATCTTTTTGAAAGGGAATGTGTAGAGTGCGGATGCAACAAAGGACTTTCTCAGAAGGTGTGGCTAACTATGTAGTGACACAGTATTGCAGATCAACAAAAAAGCAGTTTGTATAGGTGCATTCCGTTATCTGCAAGAATGATCACAGCTCATGCAGAACTAGCTATCCTGAATCATTGTAAGAGTGTGCCAGTAGTGGCATGGGCTTTGGTGACTGGACCCAGGATCCTGGATGGATGTTTTGCTGTACAGACTGAGCTCAACATTGCTGTTAATTACTTTAAAGATTAGCTAGCTCAGTAACTTGAGTGTAGGTTTGGATTGAAACATAGATATCGTAGAAGCATTCTGCCTCTGCAGAATATGGCTTTGTATCTGTTGCCATTGACAGGTGTGGCCAGCAGATTCTGAGCTAGACTCTCCTAGCCAGACTAGTTTTCTAGGAGGTTCTCTTCTAGTCTTTAGTGGCTTTGACAGCCAGAAGTATGAGTGCTGGATAATGCTGATCTTAAAGTATGACTAAATTATATTTGGTACTTCAGTTCTGTCTCATTCTGGAGTAATGCTGGCAACTTCAGCTCTTGGTACTCTCCTCTGTAACCCCTGTCCAATAAACTAAATAATTTATTTAGAGTAATGTAGGTAAGCATGTTTCTAGAAGGCAATTTGATCCTAGATAAAATGAAATTGTTTGTTTGCATAATTGTAACTAAATTTTCTTCAGAAGTTAAATAACTGTTTTTATCATAGTGAATGATAGGTGTCATCTGTAAGATACAAGGGTGTTATGTTTATCTGTTTTTAAAAAGAAAGTTTTTGTTCTACAGGAAGAAATTGCAAAGTATGATAGAATATGTGAAGAAGCATATACTAGATCTAAGGATAATAAGATCCTACATATCAAGCACTGGCTTGATTCACCTTGGCCTGGTAAGAAGTGTCCTTTCACTTATCCTAGTGTTAATAGTATTGTGCTTTTATTTTGAGTCCATATTCTAGGACTCTTAAATGTTTTTTATCAGACAGTGTTCCTTTAAAATAAAATGTGATCTTTGGTTTGCCCCTGTTAATAGTAAATAAGACATTCTGCCAGATCAACTTGAAAGAGATGCTTTTCTTAAAAAAAAAAAAAAAAAAAAAAAAGTGCAAAGGTGTGACTTTGAAAAAGATGTCTTTTCAGTTTAGCAGAGAAGTGTTTTTCCTGTAGTGTTACCTGTCTGTGCCTTCAGGAAGAAGGAGTATGTCTCATGCTCCAGTTTTTTGTTTGTTTGTTTTGTTTTGTTTTTTTTCCTCTGGAGGGATTGAGGTGCCATATGCCTTTATTGGCTGCCTCTGCCCACATAGTTGGATCATTGTGTGCCTGTAAGATCAAGTGCTGTTGTCATACAGACAATCAAAATGATTGTGTCTCCCAGTGAAAGGTGAAGAACTAGGTTTAGGCTTCTGCTTAGAATATTTTTTATGACTTGTGAGTTTTTAAATAAATTGTGGATAGTGTAGATATTTCTTAATCAGTCCTTGGATATCTCACCAAATCTTTTACTTCCAGGATTCTTTAACGTGGATGGAGAACCCAAGAGCATGTCTTGTCCTCCAACTGGCATTTCAGAAGACCTGCTGACTCACATTGGCAATGTAGCTAGTTCAGTGCCAGTCAAAGACTTCAAAATACATGCAGGTCAGCTGGAGTCTTTGTTTCTCCTAGTGGCTACGTTTCTTGCTCAGATTTTATATTTCTGCACACAAGTTGCTGTTGGGCCATTTCCCAAAGAGGAGAATGCCTGTGACTTTTATTTTAACTCTTCCACCCTATGGGCAAGGAGAATGTGACAGTTAAGGTCCTGCTGCTTGTTCTCAGCATAATGTTCTTTCAGTATCACACTTCTGTTCCCTACCTCATTAAAATAGATTTTCCTCTGAGGGAGCTAAAAGTCTCTTTGTAACGTTCAGTTAATACCTCCTTTCATTCTTCAAGTCCTTGTGGAAAATGCTGCCTCTATGCAGCACATTTGTGGGACTTACTGGGAAGTAAGGCACCCATCTCAGGAAGCACTATTAATGTGGGGTTTTTTAATGCTAAAACCAGTGGTAATTTGAGGTCCACTTAAGACACTTTTCTTGTAGTTAGATAATTTTCTACTCAGGAATATAGCTTGGTCTTTTCAGACCTGGCAATGTTGCTGATATACTATGAGCCTAATTTTAGTACAGCTGAATGGACTCTGAGTAGGCAAATTCAGACAATTTTTTCTTTAAACTTATCATTTAGCATTGATGATAGTACAAATCTAGTGTTTTCTCAAAGTCTTGGCTTTTGGTCTGAAGAGAGTCAATTCTGAATTTGGCATCTATTACAGTAAGAAGTTAAATGTGCCTGTCTCACTGGGGAGCCCCGACACTGTGTCAAAGTTCTGAGTTAATTCTTTTACTCCCTGGTGAGGTTGAAGTCTAACAGCTCTACAGGGAGCAATAAGACGTTCATTCCAGGGGGAAACTTGGAGACACTTTGTTAAGGGAACTTTTTTCTTTTGTTGGCTTGTAGGGAATGTACTTAGGATCAGGAGAAAGAGCTCTTTTCCTGTGTAAAATCTCTAGCTAATCTTTCTTCTCCAGAGTCATCCATCAAGGGATAAAGTGTGTCTGCTGTAGATGTTCTATGTGTTTGTGTTCCTTTGGGACAATTAAACAGTTACAATTAATGATGGTAGGGCATTCCCAGTTATCAACTGCAAGCTTGTTGAGCAGATACAATTAATTGATGAACTTTAAATCTCTTCTAAACATTTGTGTGCTTTGTTGTGACACTGTTAAATTTGAAATTATAGTCAGCCAATAAAATTTAATATTAGACATGCTAATTAAAAAGCTAAGATGGTCTCTCTTTAGTAACTTGATTAACCATTGACACTAAGTCATATTTGCCAGTATATAAGATAGATTTATGGCTCAAAGCAAACTTTGGTCTGCTAGATTCTTTTACGCAGTTTAAAAGGCCATGAGAGAGAAAATTTTGGGAGAATTAGAAGGGGAAGAGCACCTTTTGAAGTACTTTGTCCTTCCACTATAATGAAACAGCTTACTATCTCGCAATCTTTCAACAAACAATTGGAAGATTATTTTGTTTTATCAAATGTTTTGTATATTCTAAAGAGAAAAGATCACTTTTTTTTTTTTACTTAAAATGCAACAATTTTGATGAGAGAAAAGTTTTACGTGGAAAGAAAGCAGGGCGATTTTTGTAAAAATGGGGAAAGTAACAAAAGGAAATATGGGAAAATAACAAATAGGACAGCTTACCAAAAGCATCAGTTCAGATATGAAAATAAGATGGTGTCAAGTGACACTGAATACACGAGGCTTATAGCCTCAAAGCTGTAAGCATCTGTGTGCAGCTTTGAAGCTTTATTCCCTTTAAAAGTCACAGTGTTGTAACTTGTGTTTTGGCTTAGCAAGTTATAAAATCTTCACTGTAAAAAAACAGCTATTGGTTATCAACTGAAAATCTGTTGGCAGCTGCTACAATTTCCTATTTATATGATATTCATACTATTGATTAATCCAGCCTGTTTCACTTTGTAACATCTCCAGAAGTCTAATTAGACAAATGCCAAGATAAAATGAGAAAGAGAGAAGAAAAAAATAACGAACCAAATAGCTGATATTTTCAGTCTCTTATAAAACAGTACTTGGTGTTAGAGATGTGAAGAAAAAACTTTAGGAAGAAGTATTTCACCATGAGTCTTTTTAATTGTCCTCAGTAGTTTCTACATGGCCAATCTTATTTTCTTCTTCTAAAACAAGGTATGAACATTATGCAACGCTTTGCCTGGGAAGCAAGTTATTTTACTTTGCTAGCAGTTCAGTTCTAGAAGTACAGTTTGTAGACCCTATTAGGATTTGTGTTTAACTTAGCCAGTGGGGAAGGAGAATGGTCAATATAATGTGAATATAATATACCTCTGAAGTAGGTCCATTGATTTCTGATCTTTATTCCAATGTAGGACTCTCTCGGATTTTGAGAGCCCGCTTGGAAATGACCAAGAACAGGGTTGTTGACTGGGCCTTAGCAGAATACATGGCTTTTGGCTCTTTTCTGAAAGAAGGGATCCATGTCCGACTAAGTGGACAGGATGTGGAGAGAGGTACTTTTAGGTGAGTACCGAGATAACTGTTAAATGCTGTCCCATGCTTAAAGAAACACCTTGGCATTTTTTAAACACAATGGTCTTCTGCGGGGAAGTTGAGGCTATTCAGTATCAATCTGAATGTTATAGATTCTGGCAGTCAAGAATAATCAAATCACCTGTGTCTCTGTAAACAGCATTTTAAAGAATTGTATTTAAGGCAGAACAAATGTTCTTAGATACTTCCTTCTCTTGCTGAAAATAATTTTTTTTTTTTTTTTTTTTTTTTTCCTAAAAGCTAAAAATTTGAAGCTAAAAATTCAGCTTCAATCCCTCTAATGGCTGAGAAGTAAAAGGAGGGTATTTGCTGCTGCAGATTCTGAAGTCTTTTAAGTACCATTCCAGTGGTGGCTGCTTGGAGCTTGGGTATCCTGTGAACAAACATGCTGCCAGTTGGCAAGGCTTTTTTAAGTGAAATAAGGTCCTTTGTACCGAGACTTTTAATGACTGTGGAGCATGAATGAACGCAGAATCTGATCACTTGGTAAAATATATACAGTTCTGCTGCCTTACCTGATTCTCCATGGAGTAAAATGTTAATGATGTATTTAATTGAAGCCTTTGATGCGAAGCCCATTGCTGGTGGTGAATGAACTAGCAGCTGCACTGTGCTTCATTGTTAATGCTTGCAGAAAAGAGAGATAAATCTTGGTGCCTCTCCTCTCTGGTACAGTGCTCTGTTTCTGTGCTGAGCTTCATTTGGTATCCCATCTTTTGGGCTTTCTTCTTTTTGCTCCCATTCTAATGGCAGTTTAACAAAATCCTTTGGACAAGACCTGAAAACAAAACTGAAAATAGGGAGATTTCCCCACCCCCGATTTCTCAACCTCCTTGATTTTCAGTACCATGGTCTTGTAAAGTGGTGAGCATCTCCTGGGAGAGGAACAGACATGTTCATTGTTTAGCAATGTAGCCACCTATTTCAGGTGAGTGCTTAGTCATGTCTAGCACACACCTATAGACTTGTCTTGAGAATACTGTATTCCCAGTTCTCTCACTGGTGGAAGAGGATTTTCCAGAACTAGCATCCAGATTTTCTTGATGTTTAAGATAAAAATAATTTTATGTTCACAGCAATATAGGGAAAAAATAAAAACCATGTTCAAATAAAAAGCTATTCAGACTGGCAAAGACCAGCTAAGGATTCCTGTGCCAGCTGATATTATTATTCAGTCTTTCAGAAAAGGAGTAAAAAGTTATTCAAGTAAATTCTTGTGAAGATCAGGACTGAAGCTGGTACTGCAGATGTTTGATTTATAGTAACCTGGTTCTGCTTTACTGCTGGGTTTTGAGTTTGCCTGATGGATAGTGGGGTCTACAAAATATTAGCATATGGTGTGATGATGAATTTTTGTTACGAGTGTGATAGGGCAGTGGGACAATAAAGGGTGAGATTAAAAAAATGCCTCAGACCTAAGGAAGTCAGAGAATATTCAACTACTCTGTTAAACAGAAGAGAACACTGCAGAAATGTGTAAGACAGTCTATTATACTGTATTGAGGCTCATTTCAGCAGAGGAATAGCTAGAAATTTAACTTGTGGTACAAACACATCTAAGAGATACTGCCATTCTCAGTAAAGCTGCTCTTTTTTAGCTGTGGTTGAGTTTTTGTCATTTATAATAAAGGTGAGTAACTTCCTTTAAGAACTGAAGACATTTGCAAATGCTGGTGCATTTTTATTGGAAAAAAACCCACATTGCAAACACATAGAAAGTATACGTCATTTTATCTTCTCTCTGTACTGAGAAGACCCTTCTTCCCCCAAAATCCTTGAAGTACATAATGTCTCAAATATCTGGGACTGATTGAAGAGACAGTATCAGCTAGAATTTGGGAAGAACTGAAGATACTGCATTGCCATAATGAAAACAACACGTTGGGAGTGCTTTCGCTATTTTGGAACTTCTGAAATGCTGTCTAGAAAATAGTACTTTCTGACAGTATTCAATGTGATGGCTTGCTTTCTTCCTGTTTCAGTACTCAACATTATCAATAGACAGAAGCTAGATAAAGCTGCAGATAGAAGGACTTGGCCCCTTCTCATCTTGGAGACACACTCTGGAGAAGGGAAGGAAATGGGGAGAGAGAGACTTGATTTTGTACTAGTCTGATGTCAGTAAACCTGACAATTGCACAATAGCAATATCTGACTTGTATGTCTGTATATTTCTCGCTGTCCTTCTATGCTCGTTGTAATCACCTTTTGCTGGGGAAACACAAAACTTTGTGCTCAAGAAGCTTATCACCTAGCTAAGCCTTCTATCTTTAGCTGAATGACAAAAATAAAATGACAGTGGCAAAAATGGTTTCTGCCTAACAGCTATCTGGTGTGTGTGTTTTCTCCTTTCTATCTACTTCCCTCCCTGTGCTGTTCTTCAAGGATTCTATCTTTTCCTGGCCGTATATTGTTGACTTCTAAATAAATTTCAGAGCTCTTTTGCTAGCATTCATTATGGCAAAGGGAAGTACAAAAAGATTCAGTCTTCAGTTCAGTGTTGGCAGCCATACAACACATGGTAATTGTTACCAGTATAATAACTGTCTTTATGTTAGCAGTTGTAAAGCTAGACATATTGGTGTGATTCACTCAGTTAGTCTGCTCAGAGAGTTAATGGATTACAGTAATTACTTCAGTCATCTCTGTTTTGGTAGTGTTCCTGGGTGCCCCATTCTAATGCTGATTAATGGTGTTCTAGAGAACTGTAAATGGTGCATATGAGTGGAAACAGCAGAAAAGAGGATACAACTGCTTCAAGTCTTGGTGCTGAGATTAGATTAGATTAAATTTTTGCATAAAAGACAACAGTTGATTTAAGGAAAAGATTAATAGAATTTGCCAGGGAGGCAGTGTGAAATGTTTTTAGTAACAATTTTGTTCTTCTGTCTGTTGTTTTTACTTTAATCAGTCTATTTTACAGCAACAACTCCCCACCCCTTCCCCGCTCCCCCCAAGATCTACTAGTAATAAGGTATTTTCAGTTTCCACGAGTGCTTGAGAACAAGCCTGGATAGTCAGTGGAAGTCCTTATAGTGCAGGAATTGTATTTAGGCATGATTGTATTGCTAGGTTTCAACCAAACCAGGGTGTTAGGTAAAGCAAAGATAACTGTGTTGCTTGCATGCTTTCTAGAACATAGCTTTGATGGTTTATCTTTGAAAATAGCTCTGTTAAAGCCCAAAGTTATTCTTAGCTAATAAATTTCTTTCAACAACTATTTACAGCCATCGTCATCATGTGCTTCATGATCAAGAAGTTGACAAGAGAACGTGTGTTCCCATGAATCATCTCTGGGAGCAGCAGGCTCCCTATACTGTGTGCAACAGCTCCCTTTCTGAATATGGTGTCTTAGGTATGTCTCGGGGTAACTATCTGACAGATCTGCTTGTGTTTAAATAGGTCTCAAACAAGATGTAGGAAATGATGACTGCTAACTAAGAGGAATTTTTTTTCAGATTTTACTTTAATGTGGTTAAGCCTTCTGGCTACAAAGTTTTACTTTGTTACTTGAGTTTGCCAAGCCTCAAAACAAACAAAAAATATCTCCTTCTGCTAGTAGCATTTAATAATAAACTCTGCCTTTGTTGTATTTTGACATTATCACATTCATAACAGTTTTGTATCAGGTCAGAGCCAGCAATTGCAGAACAGGGGCCTAAAATCCAATCAAAATGCCTAAACTGATTTCCCTCCACCCCCTGAAAAAAGTGGTTCTACCAAGAGATGCAGTAAATTTACCCTGTTCATTGTAAGATTTGGCCCTTATTGTCTTCTTACCTTGAAGTTTTAAAAAATCATAGGAGTATACACTTTAAGCCAAACTCTTGGTTTTTTTTCCTACAGTGTGCTATGATGGGTCTTGGTTTTAATGTATATTTTAGTTTTAACATTTTAGAATAAATTAAAAACTAGGGGAAAACTTCAACTGGGTGTGTGTTAGTGGGTTTTGTTTCTTTTTTAATTATTTTCTTGTAATTTTTTGAATGTGTTACCTGTGGTATCAGGCATATGAATTTGCAGATTTCAGTGTGCTTGCAGTGCAAAACTTTCTGTGCTCTTCAAATAGCGCATCCATTTGTTTAAGCTGCTTAGAACCTGCTTGTACTTCAAAACTATGAACTGGGAGACTTAAGTAGCTTTTGGTGGAAAAGTCACAGAATATGCTAGCATTGGTCTCATTAGTATTCAACAGGAGATTACATAGTAATGACAGAAGATGAATTTCAGAGAATAATGTAGCTATACAAGAAGCAGAACTCGGCAAGAAAGAGAATGTGGAAAAAAAGCTGTAAAACAGATATGTATGAAACGGATATCAAAGCTCTCCCTCTCAGGTTCTGGCATCTCTTAAAGAAGCTTCTCCACATTTTACAATTTTGGGATTCAGTTGAAAGTATCCAGCTGCTGTGGTTGATCCTGGCAGTGCTGGAACATGCACCTAATGCTTTCTCAAAAGGGGAGGAACTGCCAGCAAAATCAGGGACACTTTGTAATGCAGATATAAAAATCCATCCTAGCCTTATCTGAACTGCTATTCTGGATGTGCTATTTCAAGAAAACAAAATCTTGTTAGTGATAGCGGTAATCATAGTGAATTATATCTTTGGTACTGGACAGACATTTTACCTTCAGCTGCAGAGAATGGATAACCTCACTCTGACATGATGAGGGTGGCAAGAGGAATGTGAAGCACAAAACAAATACATCTAATAATGTATAAAAAATGTTATTGATTCTATGGATAAATAATGAAATATTGTTTCATATCCATTTTGGAGCTAGTGTGAAGGAAAAAGATGAAACATTGTAGTAGATAAAGATGGTAATTGATAGCTGCTTGCTTCAAAGTTCCAGAAATATTTGATCACGTAGTCATTTTAACATATGCTACGTATTACCTATTGCTAATAATATTAAAATTAAAGTGGTATAAAACTGTATAGTTGGAGTATGGGCTGAAGAGCTGAGATTTTTTAGGTATTTTTGTTAGTGCTGTGGCCGAATTGGTGTGAACAGAAGTTTGTATCTCTATAAGTTAATATAGTAACATGTAAATGTAAACTAAATAGGAGAGTGCAAGAGAGGATGTGTATAAACATAAGGCAAATAATTGGCATAGCTAAAAAGCAAGACTTTAATTTCAGAGAATGATTTTTTGTTTGTTTGTTTCCAATTTCCTATTGTTTCTCACAGTTTGGTCTGGGGTTTCTTAACTTGAGCCTCTTTACAGTGTTCCTGCAAATGTTATGGGTAAGTGGGTCATAGGTTTCTGGTTTGGGTTTTTTTTTTTTACATTCAAGTAAGCTATCCAAAAGTGAAAGTGACAAATGTCTAGATATGGTTGAAATCTGATCTTGTTCCAAAATTTACACCTCAGTAGGTCTAGGAAACTTAGTGTTGATATGATCTGAAGGGCAATTCTTATTGTCACAATTCTGTTCTTTAAACAGTTAACTAAGCGGGCTCTCTTTCTTTCTCTTTCTTGATCTCATCCTGCTCACTATTGCTCTTCCACCTTCCCCGGCAACAGAAATCATAGAATCATAGAATGGTTTGGGTTGAAAAGATCACTTTAAAGATCATCTTGTTCCACCCACCCCTGCCATGGGCAGGGATACCTTCCACTAGACCAGATTGCCCAAAGCCCCAACCAACCTGGCCTTGAACACATCCAGGGATGGGGCATCCACAACCTCTCTGGGCAACCTGTGAAAGTTGATTTAATAACTTTCATTGAATACAAGCAATAGCGCAAAGTACAGGTTTGTTCATACACTGAAAACAAGACTACCATTTCTGTGCAATTCTGCTTCAGCAGATGTGATGACAGCTTCTTCAAAACTAATAGTACTGATATTTTTAATTGTTAAGAACTTTAAATCCCTTATGTCTGAGATGGTTTTTTAGCAGTAAAGGAGATTAAATTGATATAAATAGTTAAGTGATTTTTTTTTTAACTAAAAATGCCATGTTTCTATGTTGAAGTGATTTTATAATTAAGTTTCCTCTCCCTTGCCAGCTTTTACATATCAACCTTTTCCAACATGTTTACTCTTGTGTATTGTATCCATAGAGAGACAGTGTTGGGATAAGCAGCAGTGTGTGAACATGTCTCTTCTAGTTAAGCATCTCGGTCAAAGAGGAGCAATTAGAATTGTTACCCGTTTGTCTGGTAACACCACCGGGTCTCCTTTTTACTACATGGAAGAATAAGTGAATGCTTGCAGTACATGGAGTTGATTCTTCAGAAGTAGCAAAAACCGCCAACACTTTATTTTCTCTAACTGCGATTTCTACTATATAAGCCTGTTACAAGGAACAGTTTGGGATTAGTGCCCCAAAGTATTTGGTGAGGGGTGGGAGGGTTGTGAGAGGATATAAAGGGAAAAAAAGAAAAGGTGTTAAGAATTTAATTTATGACTCTGTTAACATGCAGCACCTTGGAAGCATTTTGGGAATTCCCTTAGTTTCTGTGAATCAGAGCTAAGTAAAAATGGCTTGAACATCGCAGCATGATAAAACTACAGGTTATTTCCTTGGCAGGTACATAAGCCAAGAGCTGACATCTGTTCGGAGCTGTGAGCTTTGCACCAAGTTATTGTTGAGCTGGTTAGGAACACCTGGGGTATAACTGCTCCATTAAAATGATACTCTGACAAGACTGATTTCACTTAGAAATAAAACAAAGGCAGTCTTGTTAACTTGTAGGTCAAACATTTCCTTATGTTTTGTATACAGGAAGCTGTGGAGTGTGTGTTACTGGGGCATTAAGTCAGAGTATTTAACAACCTCTGATAATTTTGTCTGACATCCTATGTCTACTATTTTTAGCTATATCCAGATTATTACAATCTAGTTGTGCATCCACTCATCTAGCTATAAATTTTCCCTTTTACTGAAACTGAATGTTTGCGAGTATAAGTGATGGCTGTGTGAAGTCATTTAAGCAAAAAAAGTTTGAGTTTATTTGCTGATTGAGATAGAGGAGAAAAGCAAAAGTAACTTACGGGCACTCCATGCTACCTCTTCAGCATTTTTTAAATACTTGAAAGGATCTCCTGTCTTTCTTTACTACCCTCAGAATGACTTGTGTAGTGTTGATTCACCACCCAGGAGGTATGATTCCCTCTGTCAGGTTCAGTACTGGCTTTGAGAGGTCTTGGGCTGTAGCATTCTGTACTGGGAAGTTCCAAGGAACAACCAGGCAAGATAGACTTGGAACCAGTGCATAGTTCAGCAAATTCCTGAACCATGAGACCTGGAGTACAGCTTTTTCAAGGGGAAAGGTCATGTCTAAAGCAAAAGACAAAGGGAAGGGGACAGGTATTGATTTAAACTTTTTTTTTTTTTTTTGCAATACACTCCTAGGATGAAATATGTAGTATTACTATTCATTCAGAACAACATGTTTTTAAGATTAGGAGTAGCAAATACAATTACCTCTCAGAAATTGTGTTAGGAAATAGGACAGACTGTAGTAACGAAGGACCAGGTTCTCAATGGCATCTGCATGGAGCTCTAAGAAGGCATCAGTCTTTCTGTTTAATAGTCAGCCACCAGGTGGGTATTAACTTCACTTTCTCCTGGGTTGTGTTTGGGTTTGTGAAAGGGTGCGTGTCCCTCTATTAGTCCCTGTGCTTAGATTTTCTGTTAAACATAGCACAAATCTGTCTTTGTAACTTTCTTCATTCTGACGTTAAATCCCTGCTCTGATAAGCCCTCTATAACCGTGAGTTAACATTCATGCCTTAAGTCACTTTGAAATCATATTGAATTAAGCTATAGCCTTACTTACATTAATTGAGGCTACAGTTCTTACGACAGTCATGAAAACTGCTGTGGGGAAAAACACAGCATAATACGCTGTGTAAGCTGCCACTTTGCTTGACAACACCTCTTTCTCTGCCAGAGTGACGAAAGAACAGTAAGGGAGCACAGCAGGAACTGGACTAATAGAAACAAGAATTTCTGCTATGCCTGTCATCTAGGGACCTTAATGAACTTCAGCAATTAAAACATTAGTTTTGCAACCTTAGTCAAGTGCTGTGTATTTTTCTTTCCTCTCTCCTCTCAGTTTGGAAGTTTACCAAACTGCTGTGCTGGGTCCTGGTCCCCTGTCCCCTGGCGTGCTCTGAGCCCCGAGCGGCTGGCTGCCTGGTGGTTGGGAGCTGGCTGGTGGCTCTACACCACCCTTTGGGTGTGCAGATTCTTTACCTTTACTCATTCTTTGAAAGCTACCTCTTGCAGCCTGGTTGTCTTGGCACTGGATTTCCTCACAGCTTAAACCTGTTCTCTGTGTTTCTAGCTGTGTAAGAGTTAATCCTTTAAACTCACAAAATTTGCACAGTTCTG